CTCGATCTGCGCTTGTAGTTACATGTAAAGTATGTATACTATATAAAATATTTACGTTAATCGATCTGCGCGTGTAATTACAAGTACAGTATTTATACGATATAAAGTATTTACGTTACTCGATCTGCGCGTGTAATTACATGTAAAGTATGTATACTATATAAAGTATTTACCTTACTAAATCGGCGCATGTAATTACATGTAAAGTATGTTTACTATATAAAGTATTTACGTTACTCGATCTGCGCGTGTAATTACATGTACAGTATGTATACTATATAAAGTATTTACCTTACTCAATCTGCGCATGTAATTACATGTAAAGTATGTTTACTATATAAAGTATTTAAGTTACTCGATCTGCGCTTGGAAGGAATATGGAAGGAGAGAATGAGTGGTGACCGCGATTTCTGCAGATTTATATTGTTCATGATAAGTTGGCTCCTCACATATTGTGGAAATTGTTAATAAAATTTCCTCAAAACAGAGAAGCTATACATAGTATAATGAAATTGATTGTATCTCTAAGACATTCAGAAAAAAACTGAATTATGTCATAAATGTGGACAAATGTATAACGATATATATACCCACATAGTTTTACAATGTGATTGTACAGAAGACTTACGAGATCAGTTATGGTGTCAAGTCATTAATACATGTGAACTTATGTTTAGCGTATATTTACACCCTCATTCAGACTTTGAATTATTTCACCTACTGATTGGTGGCAATATAACGTATGAACTGAATACATTAGAGTTAACAGAATTTCGTATGGCATCAGTCAATTACATTTCAAAAATGCTTAATGTATACTTCGAATGATTATTCGATACTTTTGGGTATATCATTCTTAACATTTTGCCTTACCATCTATTTGATTTTGCATCTATCATCTTATATATCATTGTTATTACATTATTCTGTTTGTAAAATCTTCTTAAAGGAGGAAATAAAGATAATAATAATAAAGTATTTACGTTACTCGATCTGCGCGTGTAATTACAAGTATAGTATTTATACGATATAAAGTATTCACGTTACCCGATCTGCGCGTGTAATTACATGTACAGTATGTATACTGTATAAAATATTTATGTTACTCGATCTGCGCGTGTAATTACATGTAAAGTATGTATACTATATAAAATATTTACGTTACTCGATCTGCTTGTGTAATTACATGTAAAGTATGTATACTATATAAAGTATGTACGTTACTCGATCTGTGCGTGTAATTACATGTAAAGTATGTATACTATATAAAGTACTCGATCACGTGCAGAACAATAGCGACTTGAACTTCTCTTTATGTTTTGTGCTTTTATTATGGTGGTAATAATTCTAAAACAATGTTCAGACTTAGTACAAAACAAATATCTAGGAAAATACATTTTTTAAATATTAGCTTACAGGTTCCGAATGGAATCCTTTACTGCCACACCTTTCCCGCCTCCGACAATTCTGGTCCCGAGGCTTCGTCTAGAGAATAATGTGCGTCCTCCTTGTGTGACAATTCATCTTCCCTAGCCACGAGAACCTACCGCGTCACACGGTTATACCACATCGCCTGACAAGCTCGCCTGTTATCCCTGTCAATGACAGTATCAAACTCGCACACCAACTTCTATGACAAACAATATTTTTCCCAACCGCGGAGGGGCTGACCTAAACCTTTACCTGAAGATTATAGAAAGTGAGAAAAGACATGATACTTGAATGAAAAATGTATGAATAGATAAAGGGATATCTTATTCTATAAATAGTGTCATATAAACACTGGAAGTCCTTATTTTAAAAAAAGAATCACACATAATGAAGGGTGTGAGGAGTGGTAGATGGATTGCATTGGCAGCCATTTTTGTTTATTGCGCATTGTTGCGTATGGATGCAATAATAACACGGCCCCGTATCCTCGCCTATTTATCTTTTCAAAACTAAACTCATAAAAACGTTTTCCAAGGCATGTAATACTTATTTCGTTTGATCTCGGTCGATGATAAATGTCCTGCTCTCTAGCAATTTGCAAAAAGGAACTATCTCTCTCTCTCCGTCCCACCTGTTCTGATCCATTTCATCGCGGATATTTAATATGTTTTTCCCGTTTGTTTCTTTTTTATGTTTGGTTTCCTTTGTGTCTTACGTTGTTGGTCATCAAATATTTGTAACCATTCAAAGGTCATAAAATCACAGCATGGTAACATCGAGTTTTACACATGATTAGATTTTGGTAGTCAGCGGTCAAGGTCAAACGGTCGACGATATCAGCTAAAGCTCACACTTTTGAAGTAAAAAGGTTGAAGACAAGATATTTCACGAAAACAAGAACACATTTAATATGGAAATAACGGGGTTTACACCTGATTCGATTTTGTTGACCATCGGCCAAGGTCGAAACTGATTGCAGACTATACCTTGTTACCACTGCTTACGGGATTGGGAAGGGGTTGATGGGGTGGGGTGTGGGGGTCTTTCTATTTCAGCCTACGCTGACATTGGTTTTGTCTTTATTGAATAACAAGACAATGCATAGATCACCAATGAGCACCTGTTACAATCGTGTCGGCCTGGGACGAGTGGGATGATAGATTACACTAATTAAAAGACAGTAATAGATTAAACTGATTAGAATTTTGAGGACAATAAAAACCTTAATCGCCTTCATGTCATTCAGTAATTGTCAGTCCTTCTTTGTTATCATGGCGTATTATTTAAACAGGGTACATGTAGATTCTGTCTTTAGTACATGTTGTTCTGTTCGAGATATTGTCATAATTGTGCGTTGATAGTGGCATATTTTTAAAACTTAAACGTTGACAGTACGAGCACATGTTTCCTGTTACTACGTGATATATCATCGCCTGTCTAACACTGTCATTTAAACAAGTTATTAATTTCAAGCTGTAATTGAAGCGAAATATAATGTTCACCGACGGAAAATACTTAAAAACGCTGATGATAAACCGACCTTTAATGTATTATATAACATTGATTGATCGGCATATGCAAATTGAAATCAAAATGAAGCTGTGTCATCATGTTAGGGTATACTGATGAAGGTGGCGTGCTGTTTGTGCAGTCGTGACATATATCACCAACAGCGTCAGGATGTCGACAAACAAATACACTTATGGCTGTTGGTTACACGTGGACACCTATATACTTATGTTGTACGTGTTGGTGAGTATTGTTTTTATCGTCTACTTTATATCAATTTTTGATGTCTGCTAAATAGTTTCAGAATGACTAACCTCTCGTAGAACATGATTACAAACAGACTTGTGTATGAGGTTTTATTTGCAGTGTTCCATTTTGAACACATGTTTCGGGGGACATAAGACGTTGATATTTTTTTCATTTGATATTTAGTGCCACCGGTGAGTAATCGATGATATTTACAATATTTACTTTTTTTTTGGCTTATGAATTGATTTACTATTTTCAAGAGGTTCTTCCTGAATTATAATGATATCATTCCGTATATCATATCTAACTTTGGTTCTGTTTTTCCCATTGGGTGTTGATTGTACCGGGTATATTTTCTACTACATCACGAAACATACATTAACGAAATTACTGTTGAGAAAAAATCATTTTATCTTTATGATTTTCTATCTTAATATCATTTTGCTGGGTTTCTTTTCATAGTAATAAACAGTATATCAAAATAAATATTTATTAAAAAAAATTACCGAATTAACGAAATGTGCTGTCTCGCCACAATACCTTTATACGTATCTAAAACTAATTTTTCCTTGGGTTTTATGAACATTTCAATTTCCCTCTTAAGCAATCCATATCATAATTTTATGTCAATAGCTGATTTCCTAACATAATCGCACACTAATTTACTATTCCATTTAAAGGTAATATTGCGCTGAACCCATGTTTGCTTTATGGAAGAGTTGAGAACGTTCATCCAATTAAGGACGTTCGTCAAATCGAGCCTAATGAGTAGTTTGCCCCGTTTGTATGTGCTATCATACATTACGTTTTTGACATGTATTCTTTATCACTGATATTTGATAGATTATTGAATTCGAAACAGGTATTTTAAATATCCTGAAATCATTTGACGGTGTCATTACAAACATAAAACAAAAGTAATGAATTTATCATGCAACCAGTAGGCGGTATACGTTTGTATGTCAATGATAAATAAACCGATGTCACACACCCTGTTTTTCACAACCCATGTGATGTAGCGTTATATTAATGACTATCTTGACAAACCTTAGTCACGCTTTTTTCTTAATATTTTCTTCATGTTGGTAAGTTTGGATTATGAAAAGATTCTTGTTACTCAACAAATAAGTGTTTCTATGTGACGTTTCGACATCGATTTGTGGACAACTCGTACGCTTCACTGGTCATTCGTGTGGTGAAGGTAACCAATTACATACTGTACTAGGCATCGACACGTCACATAGAAACACTTATTGGGTGCATTGCGTAACAAGAAATCTTCCATAATCTAAGTCGCACTGCCTGTTTATCATTAGACCCAGTTCGTGTAGCGTCATAATTAAACTCTTTGTCCTGTCCTCTCGGAACCAACGTTATGTAGTGTTGTCATAGGTGAGAGCACTACGGAGTAGAATTAGTGATACAATAGGATAAAAAAGCGGGAATAATATATTTCCTTCTGATCTGATAAATTCGATACAACTGAATGAAAACGCAGAAAAAATACTTCTCATTGATTAAATCATTTCGCTCAAGCATTTTTGGTTTCACTTGTCGTTAGCTAAAAATACTCTACTTTTGTTAGATAACATAATGATTATTTCTATACATTTATAATGTTAGTGTTGCATTTCAATGTATAATAATGTACTAAACATAACCTCTTCCGTTACATTTGAATCAATGGCACATTTTTTATCTCAGTTAATTGATTTTAATTCCAGATACACATATGTAACGGTATGCATGGAGGTCCTATTTCTGTCATTTTGGATCAAACAAGTCTCAAAACTTTTGGGAAAAAGGTCCCAATGACACCCAAAGGGACTTCACAACCGGATCCTCACCAGATTATCAACAACAATGTGATGGCCAAACGTTTCGAAAAAGCTTTCAAAGACCCTAACACAAGCCCAGTCACGTCAAGGAGTCAACCACGACAGTCTCGGAACGATCCTATTGCTAACCAATTGCCTACAGGTAAAGATTTGTCTCTTTCCCGTTTTGCAAACATATCAACACTTTAGGAAAATACTACTCAGAGATATAGCCTTTATTGGTTAATGTTAAACTTAATAGTTAAATCCATACCCTTAACCAGAATAACAATGTATGTAATTTTAATGTAACATACTGTAAATGATAACATCATAAAAAAACTCTTTCATTTATATAACTTTATTTATTTGACAAAAATTATGAAAAACATCTACGTCAACTTATATGAATAACAATTTTTAGATAGGATATGGTAAATGAAAAAGAAAGTTTTCAAAACGAAGATCAGACTACAGTTAGGTAGAAGCAGGTAGTACGTTTTCAGTTTAGGGTGGTCGGGTGGTGCAGTGGATAGCGTACTTGCCTTTCACCAAGGCGACCGGGGTTCGATTCCCTGATTTGACGTGAAAAGGTCGGGGTTTCCTGTTTTCCGTTATTTTTCTTCGGGTAGTCCGGTTTCCTTCCACACTTAAGACCTCCCCCCGCCACGCGCTAACATCCGGGCAAACAAGAGTGATTAATATAATTTGAAATATCTTGTTTCATAATTGTTGTAAAATAAATAAAGTTCATATTTTATTTTTACGTTTACACATATTAATGATTATGTATTAAATACAGTTTTCGAAGAACAGACACAATCCGGACCGGACACCATACCACGTCGAAACATACAACTCACACATGTCCTTGTAAATAATGGCTTTAGAACTGTGAAAAACCTAACAATACGTCAAGGCAACGATCAAGTGGATCTGGGTAAAAGCTACAACGCTGATATAAGAAACATGGCATTAAACAATCAGAGACGGGAGATGCCAACGAACGGAAAGCATGTCAATTACAGCAGTAGGAAATCATTGGCTGAAAAAACGAATTTAAATGCCTTGGAAACTCCTGTGAATACGGTAGTGTATCCCGACTGGTATAATGTCATATTTAACAACTTGCCATCAGCGCAAGCACAACCGTTATTACAAAATATACAAAATAATTATGTGGACAAATTAAGCATGATACAGAATAAAGAGTCCAAACAAACAACTGATAAGAATATTGTACGCGGCCGCCAGGGATTACCGACGAGTTCTTTTCACAACCATAAGCCCTCCGTTAGCGTCAGCACGCCACCAGAAAACAGAAATCCCCCGCCGATGTTACTACTACTTGATAAAAATGTACTTCAGTCTAAAGGTAACGGTATTTTAAATTGGATTCCTCTATCACCGAACCAGCAAGTTGTTCAAGAACCCTCGACCAGTGTAAAGGAGGCAGATCTACATATGTTTAATACTACACCATCGACTCCTCTAACTCAACAAGTACAGCGGGTCGGCGCGAGGGGAGATACGGTTACATTTAATGTAAAGGTTGACAATGATCAAACGCTGTTAAACAGTCAACAACATAAAATGCTTCCGTCGTCCAAGCTTCCAGCCAACGCAGGATCTATAAAGAAATCTGAACAAATCCTGAAATTGCCGCAAGTTGGTGTTGATACCAAAGCAGCTGATATTCAACAGGTATTCAGTCATGTTAGTGGAGCTTCACCTCCTTCAACAGCACAACAGGAAAGTTCTAGTCTGCCTAGTAATCTCGTTACCAACATTAATACCGCTCATAGCGTCCCAGCATCCAAAAGTCAAACTGAAAGTTTTCAATCACCTTCAACGGTTGCCGAACGAATACAGAGTGCACCAAATCGGGGGTCGATATCGATAGAACAATCAGCAAGTATTGCGCAACGACAATCAACCAATCACGTAGCTCATGCTGCTAGGTCTCCGCCTGTTCAGAAGACAATACAGAGACTTAATCCAACGGGCAAACAGGTAACAGGTAACGTTGAAACGTCGTCAGGAACAGAAACGTTTCCGAGTAAAATCAATAGCAATGTATTTGAAAACCCGGCGTCAATTCATATGCAATCCCAAGTCAAATCACATTCACATACGGCTCAATCCCAAGCCAAATTACATCCACATACGGGTCAATCCCAAGCCAAATCACATCCCCATACGGGTCAATCCCAAGCCAAATCCCATCCCCATACGGGTCAATCCCAAGTCAAATCCCATCCACATACGGGTCAATCCCAAGCAAAATCACATCCCCATACGGGTCAATCCCAAGCCAAATCCCATCCACATACGGGTCAATATCAAGCAAAATCCCATCCACATACGGATCAATCCCAAGCCAAATCCCATCCAAATACGGGTCAATCCCAAGCCAAATCCCATCCAAATACGGGTCAATCCCAAGCAAAATCACATCCACATACGGGTCAATCCCAAGCCAAATCACATCCACATACGGGTCAATCCCAAGCCAAATCCCATTCCCATACGGGTCAATCCCAAGCCAAATCACATCCCCATACCGGTCAATCTCAAGCCAAATCACATCCACATACGGGTCAATCCCAGGCTAAATCACATCCACAATCAGGTTTAGGATTAACAACATCACAACAACAACATCTTCAATTTATAACGACGCCGTTTATACGATACGATCCTTCAGGAAAACCAGTCACATTCAATGTGGAAATGTCTTCAATGACAAACACTTGGCCAAATGATCCAAAGCAGGTATCTCCTCCTAGTGGTAATGAAAGGCAAACAACATCAGGAACCAACCCGTTTCTGAGTAATACAAACAGTAAAGTGTTTGAGAGCCCGATATCACAGAATATGCAATCCTCAGCGACGTCAGATCCACGCACAAGTCAATCTGGTATGGGAATAACTAGCACACGTGTAGACCCTTCGTCCGGAAATCAACATAATCAACATCAAACGGCATCTATACAACGTTACAGTCCGTCCGGAAAACCAGTCACATTCTATGTGGAATTGTCTTCAATGACAAACACTTGGCAAAATGATCCAAAGCAGGTAGCTCCTTCTAGTGGTAATGAAAGGCAAAACACATCAGGAACAAACCCATTTCTGAGTAATAGAAACAGTAAAGTGTTTGAGAGCCCGATATCACAGAATATGCAATCGGGTATGGGGATAACTAGCACACGGGTAGACCCTTCGTCTACAAATAGCAAACACTCAATTGTCCCTTCGCCACTTGATCGTGGAACATTTGAGTCGATGCCGTCAACCATGCACGAACAACAGTCACAAGGATTTATAAAGCAACCGGCTACAGGCATCAATACTCAGAACGTCGAGACAAAATCAGGAAATCTCCCCAATCAACCACAGCAGAACAATCTATACCATGGAAATACAATTGCGAAAGGTCATGCACAATTTCCTATGATGCTAACTGAAATGGCACTTCAAACTTTGAAAGCGGATCCATCACATCACCAAAACCTTGGGATTCCAAGTGAGCATTCCGAGTACATGAATATGCAAAATGAAGTGCACCATTCTGTTATTCCAAAACAGCCAGTCCAATATCACAACCATTTGCAAACACCACACTCAAGTAATAATAATGTTGTAACATCGAGTCACGCCGGTGGTAACACTAGTGAGAAATTAGACACTCTCCATACAATATTACACTTAATAATCGATGAACTGAGGAATACCGGTATGACCTATAAGAGTAATAAAAGGATGGTACATACAAATAAAAAAGCCAAATCTGAAAAAGTGAAACTTATATTGAAAACTGACACATTTAATCAACAGCCACTAAGTGGAAATAGTAAAACTGAGCAGCATAGTAGTTTGAATTCAAATACGATAACAGGAAAGCAAACACAACATACGATGTCAAAAATATCCAATTTGAAATCTACTCCACATTTTGACTCAAAATCAACTCAACACACACATCCAGTACAATCACATAATGAACATACACTCGATTCATCATGGCTACATCCAATGACAATTCGGAATATACAATCAAGAAGACCTAAACATCGACAGCAACAATTTCTGCAGCAAAACCAACAGCTGCTACAACAAAACCAGAAACATTCGCAGCAGCAAAAACAACAGCAGTCACCATCAACACAACCACATAGTCAGCAACTTCTAATGAGGCAGGATCATCAAAATCAACAAATTCAACAGCAACAAAGTCAACAACAATCGCCATCAACACAACCAGATAATCAAACACTATTTTTGAAGCAGGATCTACAAAATCAACAAATTCAGCAACACCAACAAAAACAACACCAACAAGTCCAACATCAGCAAAAGCCACAACAACCACAATCAACACAACCACATAATCAACATCTTTTATTGAAGCAGCATCAACAAAATCAACAACTTCAACAGCAACAAAGTCAACAACAATCGCCATCAACACAACCAGATAATCAAAATCTTCTTTTGAATCAGGATCTACAAAATCAACAAATTCAGCAACACCAACAAAAACAACACCAACAAGTCCAACAGCAGCAAAAGCAACAACAACCACAATCAACACAACCACATAATCAACATCTTTTATTGAAGCAGCATCAACAAAATCAACAACTTCAACAGCAACAAATTCAACAACAATCGCCATCAACACAACCAGATAATCAAAATCTTCTTTTGAATCAGGATCTACAAAATCAACAAATTCAGCAACACCAACAAAAACAACACCAACAAGTCCAACAGCAGCAAAAGCAACAACAACCACAATCAACACAACCACATAATCAACATCTTTTATTGAAGCAGCATCAACAAAATCAACAACTTCAACAGCAACAAATTCAACAACAATCGCCATCAACACAACCAGATAATCAAAAACTTCTTTTGAATCAGGATCTACAAAATCAACAAATTCAGCAACACCAACAAAAACAACACCAACAAGTCCAACAGCAGCAAAAGCAACAACAACCACAATCAACACAACCACATAATCAACATATTTTATTGAAGCAGCATCAACAAAATCAACAACTTCAACAGCAACAAATTCAACAACAATCGCCATCAACACAACCAGATAATCAAACACTATTTTTGAAGCAGGATCTACAAAATCAACAAATTCAGCAACAGCAACAAAAACAACAGCAACAAATCCAACAGCAGCAAAAGCAACAACAACCACAATCAACACAACCACATGATCAACATATTTTATTGAAGCAGCATCATCAAAATCAACAACTTCAACAGCAACAAATTCAACAACAATCGCCAAGAACAAAACCAGATAATCAAAAACTTATTTTGAATCAGGATTTACAAAATCAACAAATTCAGCAACACCAACAAAAACAACACCAACAAGTCCAACATCAGCAAAGGCAACAACAACCACAATCAACACAACCACATAATCAACATATTTTATTGAAGCAGCATCAACAAAATCAACAACTTCAACAGCAACAAATTCAACAACAATCGCCATCAACACAACCAGATAATCAAAAACTTCTTTTGAATCAGGATCTACAAAATCAACAAATTCAGCAACACCAACAAAAACAACACCAACAAGTCCAACAGCAGCAAAAGCAACAACAATCACAATCAACACAACCACATAATCAACATCTTTTATTGAAGCAGCATCATCAAAATCAACAACTTCAACAGCAACAAATTCAACAACAATCACCAAGAACAAAACCAGATAATCAAAAACTTATTTTGAATCAGGATTTACAAAATCAACAAATTCAGCAACACCAACAAAAACAACACCAACAAGTCCAACAGCAGCAAAAGCAACAACAATCACAATCAACACAACCACATAATCAACATCTTTTATTGAAGCAGCATCATCAAAATCAACAACTTCAACAGCAACAAATTCAACAACAATCACCAAGAACAAAACCAGATAATCAAAAACTTATTTTGAATCAGGATTTACAAAATCAACAAATTCAGCAACACCAACAAAAACAACACCAACAAGTCCAACAGCAGCAAAAGCAACAACAATCACAATCAACACAACCACATAATCAACATCTTTTATTGAAGCAGCATCATCAAAATCAACAACTTCAACAGCAACAAATTCAACAACAATCACCAAGAACAAAACCAGATAATCAAAAACTTATTTTGAATCAGGATTTACAAAATCAACAAATTCAGCAACACCAACAAAAACAACACCAACAAGTCCAACAGCAGCAAAAGCAACAACAATCACAATCAACACAACCACATAATCAACATCTTTTATTGAAGCAGCATCATCAAAATCAACAACTTCAACAGCAACAAATTCAACAACAATCGCCAAGAACAAAACCAGATAATCAAAAACTTATTTTGAATCAGGATTTACAAAATCAACAAATTCAGCAACACCAACAAAAACAACACCAACAAGTCCAACATCAGCAAAGGCAACAACAACCACAATCAACACAACCACATAATCAACATCTTTTATTGAAGCAGCATCAACAAAATCAACAACTTCAACAGCAACAAATTCAACAACAATCGCCATCAACACAACCAGATAATCAAAAACTTCTTTTGAATCAGGATTTACAAAATCAACAAATTCAGCAACACCAACAAAAACAACTTCAACAGCAACAAATTCAACAACAATCGCCATCAACACAACCAGATAATCAAAAACTTCTTTTGAAGCAGGATCAGAAAAACCATCTACAGCAACGAAAACAACAGCTACCAATTCAACAGCATCTTAATCAACAGCAACCACGCACAACAAAACCAGATAATCAACAACTAACACTGCAGCAAAATCACCAACAGAATCAATTATTTCAGCAGCAACAACAAAAACAACAGCAACAAATGCAACATCAACTGAAGCAACAACGACCACCTTCAACACAACCACTAACTCAGCAAATACTACTGCAGCAAAATCATCAGTACAGTACATTATTTCAGCAGCGACAACAGCCGCCATCAACACAACAACCTACATTGAAGGGTCATCAAAAGAATCATATTATTCAGCAGCAACAGCAAACGCAAAAAAATACGCCATCAACACAACCACATAATACACACTTTTTAATGCGACAAATACAACATCAGCAACAACTTCAACAGCAGCAGAACCAACAACAGTCATCAATACAGTCAGACAATCAACATAATCTATTGAATCAGCATCAACAGAATCAGCAAACGCAGCAGAAGCAGCAATCATCACAAAATAACTCGCCATCAGCCCAGCAACATAATCAAAATATGTTACCACTGCAGAATCATCAACAGAATCAATTATTTCAGCAGCAACAACAAGCACAAAAACAGCAACAATTTCAACAGCTTAGGCAACACAAACAACCACCATCTACACATCCACATCATCAACTACCACAGCAACATCAATTACATCAACAGGAACACATTTTTTTGCATCAAGAGACGAAGCATGAAAAACAACAAAAAACAAAACAACAACCATTTCAGCAAAACGAAGTATTCAATCAACAACAGGTACAAAATTCACAACAGACTCAACAACACAGAGGTCAACATAATGGGCAATATAAACAACAGATACAATTTAATCATCGTGTAGAAATAAATCTACCTCAGCAGTAGAAGTAACAGCAATACCATGTCAATCAATCGCACCAACAACACCGGCAAGTGTTGTCGCCCAGTGAACAGATGTTGACACAACATAACAAACAACTGGCAGCAGGAATCCAAACAACAGCAAATCTCCTTCTGTAACGGAATTAACATCCCATGTTTCAACTTGTGCTCACGGCAATCTACAGTGTAGTACTAGAGATGCAAGGCAATATTGGCAATATTGGCAATATTACATACGGGCATTAATCACACAACATAGCTGTTATACTAAATTGATTCAGCAGATGGAATGGATTTATCTAATAACTGCAATAGGTTTCATCATTTCAGCCCGTTCGTTGTTATTTCGCTTATTTCATAGTGTAACTAAATATCACGCCCCGTGTTAGCACAAAACGTTTTGGGCGTTCGACGTCACGCCTGACATCGATTTTCTTTCTGATCAGAGATTTTAAACCATCTATAGATTTACTTAAATATTTAGTTCATGTGATGAACTAGATATCTTTCTCGTGAGTGTCCACTACTATAAATATCCAGTCGGTTGCGTTTACGTACTTCATGTGCACCCCTAGAACATGTGTTGACAGACTTATCAATTTTATCATTTACAAATTTGCGTTGACGTTCGTCATGCCATGCGGATAACGAAATTAAGCATAACCACTGGAATTTGGAGGATAAAAATAAATTACCTGCTCAACATTCTGAGAGAGTGAACTTAATTTTGAACTTACCATTGCTCGTGGGTTTCTCCATATGTATTCATATTTCATACCTATGAACATATCACAATGTCCGTGATAAATTTCAAATGCTGATAAAAGTTAACTTGCAACACAGGATTTTGCTAGACCTTGATTGCAAAATAGTAAGACACGATTCGATTATATTGAGAAATATTTTATTTCTTTGTACGAAGTGAATGTTTTTGATTTATATATTATTTTTTGCTGTAATAAACCAGTTCTTAATTTGAGGAAGTGATTTTATTTTATTTTGATATGGTCGTTGATAAAGCGAAAAAACGCCTACGCTTTGCTTTCGGAACAGCTCTATTTTATGATCGGTAAATCTGATCTTATTCCGAATGTGTGTGGTTTGTTTTTCAGACAATTTATGTCCTATTTTCAACAATTTCGAGTTCAGATTGCGATGTTCCAGTGGAAGCCACCCAGGTTATGAAAATCTGTCGAGAGGAAATAAATAATCTGTCTGACAAAGATTTACATATTAAATTATAATTTGTTCATATTTGTATATTCATTATTTATTTACATCATACGTTATTTGTGAACACTGCACCATTACTTATACACGTAGGAAATAACATGATTGTGATAATTTCAATGCTGAAGAAACGCAAACCATATCAAACACAGACGTTGTTAGTAAAATCAATTATTTATTACGGTCAGTTGATACGTTTTTACAAAATAAAAGAGGCACGGCAGTCTAGTGGTAGGACGACGGGCTCGTGACCGAAGGGTTGCAGGTTCGAGTCCTTGTGTTATATCCTTGAGCAAGATACTTAACTCTCCGCTTGTTCCAGTATACGCAGCTGTAAATGAGTACGTGGTTGAGCAGTGCTAGAATTGTTGAATGTTAGCGGTGAGCGCCGAAATGGCAGCACCGGCTGTATGTTCCACAGGGAGTTGAGAAAGATATTGGCTGGTTGCAAAACACATATAACCAAGGATTATTATTTGTGAACCGCTTTGAGACGACATAAGAACTAGGTTGTGATAAAGCGGTATATATAAGAACATCGAATTGTTATTATTATTATTATTATTATTATTAAAACTCACAATAGAACAATTCTTTGTTTTTTATAATACACTTGTTATAGAAACAACGGATGTGCCACATGATTTCATCGATCGATTGTTGTAACGCTGTTCACTTTGTAGTGTTAAATCATGTTGAAGGGTTGTTATTAGACCAAGGTTAAGGTTATATAAGGAAACATAAAGGGTACAAACGTTTTTCGAACGACTACTGTATATATGCTTTCTTTCCATCTAAAACAACGTTAAAAAGAGACAACATATGTGCATATAAAAAGTAAAGTATGTCGTATAAAAATGTAATAATATACTTTGATGAATTCAAAATATTGTATTCCGAATCAGCAAACAAGAATAAATTTTGCAAACATAACTAAGTCTGTTCACCATTACTGCAAACAGAAGTAGCCTATCTAAGTTTTTATTTGATAGAAATATATTTCGATGCATTATGTAATATTGGGATTCGTTATTTTATATGAATTTTGACGCTATTTCAAATAAATTTTGATTTCTCGTTTAATTATTCGTTACTCACTATGAATGTACATATTTGTATTATAAGATATAGCACTAATAAGAACGAGTGTGTTACAATCATTATACGACGTCTGTTCAACACGACATTCAAATATCAAACACTTCAAAAAACTAAACGTAACATTTCAGTACAATTTATAGATGCATTATATAAATACATACATATCAAATATAATTTTATTCATTTCTTAGTAGCTATTGAATCATCACTTGAAAATGTGAAACAATTAGATGGACATTTCCATTTCAAATCAAATCATTGGCATCTTATTTGAACCAATATTTGTATAATTTGAATCATACTAATTATGTTTGTGCACCTTAACAGCAAATATAGTACGAATACTTAACAGATTTGAGATAAGTTATCACGCGAAAGATTATGTAGGCTAATTCATTTGGAATATTCATGGATTCTATTTCTAAAAGAAAATTAGCATTCATTTATTTCTGGACACAAGGAATCAAATGCAAATATATTTCTATTTGTAAGATTGTTTGTTATATTTAAAGTGAATGCTTATATTCTATTGTCAAACAGTTTTGCTAGAATTAATCAATCATTACACATCCAACAGGCGATTGGGTTTTTTTCCGCATAATGTCAGTCTTCACCGTCGACATATTGTATCATAAGTCAGAGCCATAGTAAATATCTTCTACCTTAAATACATTGGTGAAAAGTGATGTTAGTCACACTAAAAGACATCAAAATAACTAAAGAAACACTGATCAGAACGAGTGTTACCATGAATTCCGTTTCGGACACTTCCGGAAAACGGTATTGAATATTTGTATATGGTTTGTTTGTATTTAACGTCCTCTTAACAGCTATGATCATTTAAGGACATCCCAGGTTTTGGTGAAGGAGGAAAGGCGAGTTCCCGGAAAATACACACCGACCTACGGCCAGTACCTGGCGCCCGTATGCCTCGATCCCGCGACCCAGTGGTGAAGGGCTAGTGGTAGCAGAATGTCAGACGCCTTAACCACCTGGCCCCCGCGGCCCCCGACATTATTAAATATTAATTGTGATCCTAATTCGTATAACGCCAACATCAATAATGGTTGGTTGGATGGTTGTACAGGGTTTAACGTCTTATCGCAGTCATCTTGAAGGGCAAAAACACCAGAAGTCGTCGGGACTCTAAATAAGAAAGACAGTATAGATCTCAGCCATTCAAAACATCGGAGACTTAACGAAGTCTTCTGGAAGCATGTCAACATTTAAATGTTCAAACTGAAGCGTCTTCGTTAATTAGTTTTCCAACATTGTTCTCCTCCCGATTTAAATTCTTCCATAATATACCAAGATATGTTCATTATATCTATTCTACCAAGTAAAATATAATGAAGGTGTGTTATCGTAGTTATTTATCTTGCCTGTCAAACTCGTATATCTTTGGGAAGGATTACATTTCTGTGTATGTCTAACAATTGGTCGATTTGTGATAACGACACGGACCTAAGAAGATACATCTTGCTGACTACCTGGGAGTGACGCTATCTAAGTGAGTTGAGGGATGTTTTTGTATGATTTGTGACAGTCTACATCTATGAACATCTTGCCTTGAGACTATCTCAAAATTTGGGTAATGAATCACCACAAACGTCATATTCACCGCCATTTGGTTTCAATTCAACAGACGATAATCATTTAAGCAATGCCTTCATTCTTGATGCGAGATGTTCATATCAAAAACAACAATCTATTGATATTGGTCGATGATAAATTAACTGTAAACAGACTAAAAAACGCCAGTTCAGGTTAATCTGATCGTGCGCTTGACTTGTTTTTCTTCAATATAGTATTTGAATTAAAACTCATTAGTCTGACAAAAAGAAATGCAGGCACCCTTATTTGACAGGTTTTAATGCTTCCTTGTGTACCCTAGCAATTTTGTGGAGGCTGTTTTGGAAGAGTGTATGATCTAGCGTTATTTACCAACGAAAGGTGTAAGTGCATCTCACACGTGTCTCTTAGACCATTGTAGTGTAATTAAATACATATGTGCCCAGAGCACACTTACATTAAGGAGGCACGGTAGTCCAGTGGTAGGACGCCGGGCTCGTGACGGAAAGGTTGCGGGTTCGCGTCACGGCACGGCAATGTGTTGTATCCTTGAGCAAGATCCTTAACTCCGCTTGTTACAGTCTACTCAGCTGTAAATGAGTACGTGGTTGGGCAGTGCTAGAATTGTTGAATGCTAGCTGTTAGCGCCGAAATGGCAGCTCCGGCTGTATGCTCCCCAGGGAGGTGAGAAATGTACTGGCTAGTTGCAAAGGCCCTATAACCACGGTTAATAATTTGTGAAACGCTTTGAGACGACCTACGAACTAGGTTGTGATAAAGCGGTATATAAGAACCTACAATTATTATTATAATTATTATTATCATTACATAACAATGATAAATCGTCTTGAAGAATATTCCACATGTTTGTCTGTACACTGTGATAAATGTTACATTAGTATTATTGTTTTATAAAACAAAACTGATAATCGTCTCATGAAACTAATTAAAATAATTACACAAGATAAATGCATATTACGGTTATTTGCCAGAAACATGATTATCATTTGCTGATTAATGCTGTAGTGTCATCATGATGCACAAAGAACAAAGTAAGTCAAAATGTTCTTAGGTTTTTTATTTATATTGTTTTAATTCAATTTTTACATAATTACTGCAAAATGCAAGAACTGACAGATGAATATGAACATGTACGTCCTGACAAACGACCTTTGTCGGTACGTATTGTAAGGGAAGAAGATAAATTAAGAAGTTACTTCATTGTATTAAAGATTGAAACTTGAAATGTCATTAATTTCAGTACAATCATTCATAGACAGTCAAAATCCTCAACAATAGGTTAACTCAAATACAGTAGATGAAGACAGATCGATATGTTATCATGATACGCTTCATTATATACCCATTAATTAAATTAAATATTTAATATATGCTACTTAATTCATAATAATTCATAAGTACATACTAAATATGATGTAATTGTTTGAATTGCAATAACTGAAAGCGGTGTGTCATGTTTTATTTCGAAATTCTGAAATGCGTTTGTTAATACAACTATCGAGTAACTCCTTGTAGATGCTTTTCCAATACGACAATAACAATATATATACACCTGAAAATGAAAGCCCTATCATAACAGTGTCGGAATGGAATGATTTGAATACCTAAGGCTAGCAATCCAAATAAGTTGTCAAAGATACACATCTGGGGGAGGGGAGATAACAGCGAAAACTAAACTTGATTGCCTTATCACCGACGATTAAAGACCTTTTCTTTTCGTCTTTAATAATTGAAAACATACAAAACAACATGGACTAACCAGGAAACATTGCAAAACAATTGAGTAGAATAATACACACTATAGAAAAATTGCGTCTTCTCTTCTTCAGTTTCAGTGAGGAAAAACATGTCTTAGTGTATGCATCATAAATTATTTTATCACATGATCGGCCTGTTATCCAGTGAATTCGCCCGTGTGATATTTTTACATGTGTCACTAGTGTAATATACCCTGGAGCGTTTTACATTGTGCCAGTCAGAAATCAGACATGTACATCCCTATGTGTGTGTGTGTGTTACGTGCACCTCCCCACA